AGAGGAGAGGAGAGGAGAGGAGAGGAGAGGAGAGGAGAGGAGAGGAGAGGAGAGGAGAGGAGAGGAGAGTTTGGCCATGCCCAGGTGAGATGGACTGATTTACAAATTTCCAACCCGCTGCCAAATCTGCAGCTCAGCTGCACTAACAAGGGGCTGTGTTTCCATGGGAAGAACCCCAAACCATTCCGTGCTTTACACCAGCTCTAATGGACGTTGAAACTGCGGTTTCCAAAGTAGCTGAGAGCAAATAGGATCAAGAGGCAAATCCCAGAGCCATAAAATTCTGTGCTCCTGCCCTGGAACACCCTGACATGACTGGAGTTAAGCATCCATCCTGCCTATCCCAGATGTCACCAAGCTTCCAGGGAACACTGACTGCTCCCAGTGCCCTCACCAGGAACCAGCAATCCCCAGAACTTTGGAGAATTAGGCCATCAAACGTTCAGAGCTGAAACAGAAATGCAAAACAACTCCAAAACATCCAAGGGGACGAAGCTGCCTCCAAATGAAGACACTTCCCAGTAATTATTTCATGCAAAAAGCCTTTGGATACAATCAGAGAAGTGTGTGCAGTCGGAGTGTGTAATCCACCCGTCCAGCAGCACCATAAACGTGGAGGGGAAAGAAAACTCCAATGAAGTGCAAATTGGGCTGTGGTGGAGCCCTGTATAAACAGGCTTAAGAGTCAGGAATTCCTGAGTCGGAATCGAGATGCCAACACAAGCTTCCTTTTGTTGGTTTGGACAGAGCTGTGCTCAAGGGGCAAGTTCCTTCTCTGAAACATTTTTATTTTTTTTTTTTATTTTTCGATTCATAGCAGATCCTGAATTTCAAAGTTCTTAGAGAACAGAATTTCTGTGAAAATGTTTCATCCATGTTCAAAAATGGTAATTTTGCAGAAAATCCTCTGTAGGATCTTGCTGTTTGTTTGGAATATTTGAAAATGGCTGAGTTTTGATATTTGGTGAAATCCTTTTTGAGTTCCCATCTATTACAGAACTTTTGGGGGAAGAGCCCCTCAATATCACAAAGAATTTTAATTTTGATGGAACCTCTTCACACTCAAACTATCAGAACATGGACAATTAGTGGTGAACATGCTGGTGGTGCTGCACTGACTTGATGACCTTAAAGGTCTTTTCCAACTTTAACAATTCTGTGATTCTATGGATGAAAAGGCATTTTAGCACTAGTGGGAGAGTAGGAACTGATTCAGATTAAATATTTCATCCTTTCTTTACACCTGATTTAAAAAAAAAAAATATGTCCAAGGTGTTATTGTGGGCTGAGCTCCACCTGCATTGGCTTGGACACTGACCAATGTCCTAATGTCCCATTCTGCCACTCCAGCTGGGCAGGCTGGCAGCTTGGCATGGTGCTGGCACCATCCATGTGGGGTTTCTGTGGAGGAGCAAGGCCAGAATTCCCAACCTCCCCTTGCCCAGCCACTGCCAGGGCTCTGAATGAGCCTTCAGAAACGTTCCTGGGAGCTGGAGGGAACCTCAGAATGGTCCTGCTGCATTCCCAGTGTGGAAGAAACACCTGTGGGAGCAGACAGCAACCCAGCAGCCTCACCAGGAGCCCTGGAGCAGAGCCCATCCTGGGATTCCACCCTCCACAGCCCATGGGACAGCGGTGGTGCAGCCCTGGGATGTCCACGGCGCCTCCTGCTCAGAGGGGAGAGGCAGAACCAGGCAAAGCAAGCCCCAGATGTGGTGTTTATCAAGAAGAATAACAAGATACTTTGAAAATCTGCTCATTGGGTAATTTTTAGCCCAGACTGGGCTTCATCTCATGCGAATGCCAGGAGACTAAATACAGAGCTCGACGTGTGCAGTGGGCTGCACTCCTGCTCTGAGCACAGATGTTCCTGAATGTGCTCAGAATTTACACCACATGCTTTTTCTATCAACTGATCTGTTGATTTTAGCCAGGGGAAAGACAACATGTCAGCAGCAGCCACGGCAGGAGAGCCTGAGCCTTGGGCCTGGGCTGGGGAGGGATTTCTCTGCCCTCCCTTCCCTGGGCTCAGGGAATTGGTGGCACCAGGATCCTGCCCCAGATACTCCAGTTAGGGATGTGCTAGAATTTTTGCAGAGCCCCCTGAGTGTATACTAAACATGTCAGGGAACACCATGTGATTCTTTTTGAAAAACAGTTTACGAGCTGGCATTCTCCAGCTGCAGTTAACCCTAATTTGATTACATTACTGAGACAGATCACAATGAGCTTATGTAAATAGTAACATTATCCATTCATTCCCCCAGCTCAGATAAACTGTCATTTAGGGGGAAAAAAAGCCCCAACCCAAACTTCAATAGGCATGGCTTGATGCCTTCAGCAGGACATGGTGCATTCAGCAAACTCTGAAGATGACAGACTGGAACCTGCCTCTGTTGCATCTCCCTGAATCTGGATTTTAAAGGGATATTTCCACCTCTGCTCCGAGCTGCAAGGAGAAGAGATTGCCCAGTAATTGCACAGAAGTCAGGAGGCAGATAACAGCACTGCTTTCAAAACTTGGTCTTTGTTATCATCTGATTTTTCAGCGAGAGCTCAGTGGCACCAGTGATGCTCACAGCTGAGTGAGCACTTCAGGCTTTCAGTCACTGCCTGGGCACCTGCCCTTGGCATTGGCCCTTCCCAAGCCCTCGTGCCCGTCAGGGCACTGGGGACATCCCCTCCAGCTCTGGAACCCGGGCTGTGCCCCCTGCACCATCAGATCTGCCTCACCACGCAGCTGCTGCAGAAAAAGAACTGGAAAACTCTTCTTTTGCCTGAAATTAGCCAAGGGCCTGAGATTCTTCCTTGCACACAGGTTCACACGAATGCTCCAGATGGAAGCAGAGGCTCTGGCCCTGCTGTGCCCAGTCTGTGCTGCTCAGAGCTGGGCTCATGGCAGAGTTACTCTGCTTGTCTGGGATGTGGTGGCTCCGTTGTCTGCAGGGACACAGGGACAGCACAACCTGCAGAGCAAACAGCTCCTTCCAGCCAGCCTCTGGTGGCTTTAAAAAATGTCTCAGCTCACAAAATCACAGAATATCCTGAGCTGGAAGGACACCCCAACAATCCCAGCCTGTGGCAGGAGCTCTGGCACTCACTCAGAGCTGAGCTGTAACCTGGCAGAGCTCACTGCAGCCCCAGGCATCCCCACCACCTGCAGGACATGGTTTTTGATCAGGTCCAAATTCTGAGCATTTGGACAGCACTGGGAGCATCTCTCCCATCCAGCACCTCACCTCCTCCCCTCTTCCACCCCAGCTCAGGAGACAATGCTGTTATTAAGCCGCAAATCTTGCTCTTTGTAATTCCCATCAATTATTCCCTTAAAAGTTTTATCCTGCCAGCTCCCGAGTGGGCTGGCTCTGGCCCAGTCACATATTTAGGCAAGAAGCATCAGTGAAATGAACAGAACCAGGAATGTCTCCACACCTAAGTGCCTTTCTGGCCATAGGCCAGGAGCACCAAGCACCTTGTGGGATCCAGCCCAGGCACAGAGCACCAGAACCCACTGCAGGAATTCCATAGGGAAGAGATTTTTTATCATTTTATATCAATTATCATACGATCCCAGACTGGTTTGGGTTGGAAGGTGCCTCAAAAAACACTTTGTTCCACTCCTGCCATGGGCAGGGACACCTTCCACTATCCCAGGTTGCTCCAAGCTCTGTCCAGCCTGGCCTTGGACACTTCCAGGGATCCAGGGGCAGCCACAGCTGCTCTGGGCACCTGTGCCAGGGCTGCCCACCCTCCCAGGGAGGAATTCCTTCCCAATATCCCACCTAAACTTCTCCTCTTGCAAGGAGAAGTTCCA